TGGTGCTGGAGCAGTAGCTGAGAGCTGACCTCTGATCCATGGTCACGAGACAGAGAACTAACTGGGAATAGGGTGGTGTCTTAGTCAGTGTTTCAGTGCCATGAGGAGACACCATAGCCATGGCAATTTTCAGAAAAGCATTTAATTAGAGTGTACGTATAGCTCAGAGGTTTAGTCCATTATCATCATGTGGGAAATATAATGGCACACAGGTAAATATGGTGCAGGAAAGGTAGCTGAGAGTTCTATACCCCATTTGGGCAGACAATAGGAAGAGTGTGAGACATTGACCTTGGTTTGAGCGTCTGAAATCTCAAAGCTCACTCCTAGATACACACCTCCTCCAACAAGGCCATTGTACTGGCTGTTTTTGTGTGTCAACTTGACACAAGCTGGAGGTATCACAGAGAAAGGAGCCTCATTTGAGGAAATGCCTCCATGTGATCCAGCTGTAAGGCATTTTTTCAATTAGTGATCAGGGGTGGGAGGGTTCATTGTGGGTGGTGCCATCCCTTAGTTGGTAGTCCTGGGTTCTATAAGAAAGCAGGCTGAGCAATCCAGGGGGAACAAGCCAGTACGTAACATCCCTCCATGGTCTCTGCATCAGCTCCTGTGTCCTGATCTGTTTGACTTCCAGTCCTGACTTCCTTTGGTGATCAGTAGCAATGAGGAAGTGTAAGACAAATAAACCCTTTTCCTCCTCAACTTGCTTCTTGGTCATGATGTTTGTGCAGGAATAGAAACCCCGACTAAGACAGCCACACCTCCTAATCCTTCTGAAGTAGGTCCACCAACTAGGGACCAAGCATTCAAATACATGAACCTTTAGAGGCTGTTCTTATTCAAGCAACCAAATTCCACTTCTTAGTCTCCATGAGCTTGTAACCATGACATAATGCAAAATGTGCTGAGCCCAACTTTAGAAGTTCCCATAGCCTTTTGGACTCAGCATAGTTTTGAAGTCCAGAGTCCCTTCTGAGACTCCGGGCAATCTCTCAATTGTAATCCCTGGTAAAATAAAAAAGAAGCGTGTTTTCTTCTAACATACAATGGCACAGAATATACATTACCATTCCAAAAGGGATGAATAAGGGGATGGTAATGAAATACTGGACAAAAGCAAGACCAAAACCTAGCAGGGCAAACTCCAAGTCCTGCCCTCTCTCATGTTAAAGGGCTTAGATGGCTCCACCTTGGCTACCAACAACACACTTTTGTCTCCTAGACTGGTTCCACTCCTGTCCGCTGCTCTCCTTAGCAGGCATCCCACAGCCCTGCCACTTCCAACAGCTTGAGGGTCTCTCACACAATTCAGACTTCACTTTCACAGTGTCCTGAAAGGCCTCTCTGGGCTTCCATGCCGGGCTCAGTAGTTTTCCTTAACCTCAGAAGAAGATTCCACAACTCCTTTCCTCCTGTATCCTTCATGACTCTAAAGCTAGAACACCGCCCAGACTGCCAAGTTCTGCTGCCTGTGTGGGATGGAGCCTAGCCCTACCCTTGATTACATTTACATAAACTTCGGTTTTGCTCTGTAAGAGCAGGTACTCCCTTAGGCCTCTTCGTTTCATAAATTGCAAGATTAGCTGAATGGACTTTCACCCTGAGGACACCCCCTCCCTTTATCTCATGTTTTTTTTCTTTTCTCTTTATGCACAAGTCATGACTCCAACATTAAATTCCCTGGCACTCTTTTTTTTTTTCTTCTCAAGCTTTCTCCTTTTGCTTGTAGATAGGCATAAGAGTGATTACTGATAACCAAGCAACAACTCAGTATTTGGCTGTCTTGAAATCTCCTCTGGCAGTGAAATTAGTTTAAAACTTCAATTCAGCCTCAACCAGATTAATAGGACAAGGGCAGAAAGCAGTTACATTCTTTGTCACAATGCCACAAGAATGGCTTCTAGCCCAGGTGCTAGTATTGTTACCCTCTGAGACCTCTTGACCTGAACTTCCACAGGTAACACTTTCCAGCACTGCTGTCTTCCAAGATCCTACTAGAACAACCCATTAAGCCCACATATACCTTTCAACTACTTTTCTAGTCCAATGTGAAAGTCCTAAAGTCTTTCACATTCTCAACAAAACAAACAGAAACAACAACAAACGAAACATGGTCAGCTGTGTCACAGCAATGCCCCACTCTTGGTACTACCTTCAAATGTAGAACCCAATGCGGGTCATTGCCATTCAGACCACCACATCTGGCAGAGAAAAACAACTCCAGCCAGTTCACTGGTAGCAGGGCAATTGCTGGGCTCAGCCTGCTGTATTTCATTCATTGCATATTGAAAAACCCAGAGTACAGCCGGGCGGTGGTGGCGCACGCTTAATCTCAGCACTTGGGAGGCAGAGGCAGGCGGATTTCTGAGTTTGAGGCCAGCCTGGTCTACAGAGTGAGTTCCAGGACAGCCAGGAAAATACAGAGAAACCCTGTCTTGAAAAACCAAAATAAAATAAAATAAAATAAAATAAAAAATAAAAAATAAAAAAAAGAAAAACCCAGAGTACTAGGTGAGATGCTCTGCTAGGTCTACTCCAGGTGCTGTAGACCAGGGAGCAGCTGGCTTTCACATTAGTGGACAATGAGGTGCTCCAACAACAAGGAGGTTCCAGTGTCAGGTTCAAAAGAAAGTCCAATTCTCCAAACTCCAGAAGGCAGTACAGAAATTCAGAAATGAGCTCAACCTGGACTATGGGCAGGTTTCTGGCTGTTAGATAAAAACCAACATTCCTCAGGAATGGGGCAATCTTAGGTAAGAGGAAAAGCAAAAGATCCTTAATGGAAAAGCAGAGTGGGAAATTAAAACCTTGGGGATTCATATTTTTTTTTTTTGGTTTGGTTTTTTTTTTGTTGTTCTCTCTCCCACCCCCAGTGGGGCTGATGACGTGGCTCAACAGTAAAAGCACCAGATGCTCTTGCAGAAAATATGAACTAAGTTTCTGACATACATATGGCAGCTCACAACTGTCAGTAACTCCAGTTCAGGGATCTGGTGCTCTCTTCTGGCCTCTGTCACCAGGTACACATGTAGTGCACAGATATACATGCAGACAAAATATTCATTCACATGAAGTAGAAACATCTAAAACTGTATCTTTTGTTTCCTATTCTCACTACTCTCTAGCATCTAAAAAGCTAGAAAAGACACAAAAGAGTTTGATTCCTACATCAAGGTAAAACAGAAAAAATGAAGAGCTGTCAATGTGTTCCCCTAACCCTATGGCTAATATGGTGGGAGAAAAGTAATGTGGGAAAAGGGAACTGCAAATCAGATCTGTAGTCCTTGAAGGTCATCTTGGATGAAGGTTTAATAGCCTTAGAATTTCTGAGTCCTTCAGAATTCTGTGTACCTTTCCATTTCGAACTAAATGTTGAAAATGGACCTCTTAGTACCTAGCAGGTTCTGACTTCCAGATCATAATATTCATCCATTCATTTTATATCTATTGGCATTGACTAAGAGCTGAGAATTAAAGAAAAATTATACTTCCCTGGCTGTCTTAAAAAATATAGCAGCTTATTACCAAAGAGCTTCTGTGAATTCCTTCTCTCCCTTTTGTTATGCTCTTGTCCTTGAATCTGGTCTGCCTTATGACCTTCCCTGGCCCACGGGGCAGTGAACAGGGGACTGGGGGGACCACCTGGAAGAGAATGGGGGGACAGGAGACATGAAGAATGGACAGCAAGTCAAGAGGTCTGATCAAGCTGTCAAATTTTTATTTTTTTCCCACACCGGTTATATACTCGTAGAAGCAGGATATGGGGTAGGGGGGTGACGTAGGGTCGCTTTGTCTCTGGGGAGCACAGGTATTCTCAAGGACAGGATGTTGGCTGGGTGAAAAGTTCAGCAGAGAGAACAGAGCAGAACAGGTTGCTAGGTACCTGTCCATAAGATCTATAGCTGCTTATTCTCAGCTGGACTAGTACTTTCCCACATAGACCAAGATTTTGTGCCAGCGACAAGGCAGTTAATGTTTAAGCAAGGTCGCTCCCAATACCTGCTCTGACCAATCAATACGTAGCAAAGGTTACATGGGTCCATTTCTGGTCCAGCTACTTGAAGGGGACTGAAAGTCTCTATTTTGCTTTGGTCATCATGTAAACAGCTAGATGGAGACCACCATGTTGTGAGGAAGACCATGACCCATGTGGAAAGGCTTCCTTTAGTTTTGATGAAAGAAACCACATACACTGATGACTGGCAGAAGTCAGTGAGGAATGGTAGCTTGTGAGCCAGGGGGTTAACTCATCTCTCAAATTCTTATGGTGGTTCCCCTTTACCCAGGGATGCAGGAGGCCCGTTGGCAGCTGACTCACGACCAGGAAGGACTCCACTCCTACCTAACTTCCCACCCCAGTTTGGTCCAAGTGGTAGCATTAGTTGAGCTATATGACTAGGCAGGTCAATTTCTCCAGGCTACAATTTTTTTTTTATCAACAAAAGACACAGTTATAGTAAATTTAGGAGGCAGGAGACTGGGGATATGATTTAGTGGTGGAATGCTCGCCTACGAGGGGCAAAGCCCTCTCTTTACCCATGACTCTCCAACAGATATAATAAATGGAATAAAAAGTGGAATTTGTTCTATGATTTTATAAATTTTTGTGATAAACAGGAGAGGGGGAAGAAGGGGAGAGATGAAGAGAGGGAGAGAAAGAGAGAGAGAGAGAGAGAGAGAGAGAGAGAAAGAGAGAGAGAGAAAGAGAGAGAGAGAGAGAGAGAGAGAGAGAGAGAGAGAGAGAGAGAGAGTGTGTCTAATGCTACCTGGGCCCTAAGTTGCCATTGTTTACTTTATGTCGCTTCTATTCACTGGGAAATTTGGTTAAAGATCCCGTCAAGGCTGTGGTCTGTGACACCTGTAAGCAAGGGCCTTTCCCATGTCTCTGTGTTTGAAAGAGAAGCTGAGTTCAGTCACACTGGACCCCTGATCACTGCTCTTTCTTCTCTTTGTCTTTGAGGAACAGTTTTCTTTGTTGATAATTTTAATGCTTTTTGTACTGAAAATAGATACTTTATTTTGTCTACACAAGACATTTTCAAATATAAATCATATACAATATGTAGATATAATAGAAAAGAAAGTATAAATATAAATGTATATGAAAATATACACTTTTACATACACACAACACACACACACACACACACATAGTCACTGAGTTCAGTTTTTGTCATGAATCCTATACAAAAGGGTTCACTGGCTCAATATCTCTTCTGCCTTTTTTCTGCTCTCTTCCAATACGTGCAAAGCACCAAACAGCCAAATCTTCAGGAGCTCAAATGCTACGTCTTCTTTATAGACATCTCCTGTGCCAGAGGAGCCTTGGAGGACAATGGGAGCCTTGTTAATCTCTGTAAACTGTAAATCAGAGTAGGGAATAGAAAAGAGAGTCTAGCTGAGAAGTTGCTTTGAGTTGATGTCTGAGTGGAGTTAGATGCCTTTATGGAGACTCCCTGGAGAGCTCAAGCTGCTTGTACTCCGGGGAGTTGATGAACCAGGAGGAAAGGTGGTGTCCTTCCAGGTACTGGGGATCCAGGCCTGCATATGGGAGGCACCCAGGCTCAGTAAAAACAGGTCATACCAGAGACTTCTATTATTACATTAGGCTTTTTCCTGTGTCCAGGTGCACCTGGACTAACTGCCCTTGTGTCTTCCCTTCGGACTCAGCCAGGCAGGTCTCCCTGAGTTTCTGGAGTCATATGGTTAGGCCCCGGTGTCTTCGTCCTCCTTGGTGCTGGTCCTCACAGTCATGGGTACCATTTCCATGGTTTCCACCCCAACAGGACATGATTGAGAAGTTTGCCTATAAAACAGTTCATTCACAGGTTTTGAAAAGAGGACAGGACTACCCTTCAGTCAATGTATCTCTTACTGAACGTGTATGCCCAGTACTGAGTGGGTTACATTAGCAAACATTAACCCCGTTCTTAGAGATCTGTGCTGTTTAGAGATTAGGAAAAGCTAGACTACATAAATGTGCAGATTTGCCACCCCACCCTCCCCAACTCTACCAATCCTCTGCTAAAAACCAGCATAGGTAGCAAGGGATGGAGAGAGGAGACAGGGACCGTGGCTAGACCAGGCTTGATGATGTGGATGAAGGTTGCTGGGTATTCACTGCTTTGTACATGCTAGGCAAGTGTTTTGCCAACTGATAACATCTTCAGATGAAGTCCTATAATTTTATATTGATATGTTAGTTAACACTTTATTCCTAGTGACAGCATGCTCAGTTTCAAGAATGCTGATAGTCACTCATGCAAGAATCCAGAAGCAGGATCTAGAGATGTATTCTGTATTGAATTAACAACTATGTCAGTTTGTTAATAAATGATAAAAGTGCAAGGTTGAAGCCAATATGCTGTGCAAAGAATATTTTTATAAGGAAGGAATGATAAACATACTTAGAGAAAAATGAAAGGCAAAAACTGAAATGTCAGGAAGTGGCGGGAACTCGTGACGGAACTGCAGGGTATAATTTCCGCTATTAGAAATACAGAATTACAGCTGACATGAACATGTCTATAAGCAGGTGTACCATGTGTGATGAGGACATGAGGAGTATATTCATGAGTGCGTCACAAAAGAAGCTGATACACACAGCCTCTGGTATCATAGGGCTCAGTTCCTGTTGACCCCATTTTGAACACATGATCTGAGACCTGTGTGAGAAGTGAATGGCCATTGGCTCGGTCTCATAGGGCTCCTCCTTGCTGCTACAGAAGAGACTGAGTGCGAGAGTTTATAGTTAGGAGAGTCCTCTTTATAGAGAGCGTCTTTATGATTTTTATATAGCTTTATATATCTTTATGATCAAACTTTTTTGGTAGAAAGGAAGAATTAGGTCCTGCAGTTTTTCTGTGCAGCTCACCTTGATTTGATGTACCAGGCCAGGAAAACAACCACAACCCCTGCACCAACCAAGAGGACCGATGTAGAGATAGCCACTGAAAAAGAACAGAACTAAGCTAGCACCACTTGACTCCCATGAAGCCATTCATGGCCAAGAATTGGTAAATTATTGGTTAATTTTCATTCTTGCCCAGAACAGATGTTCATTATTGTCATTATTAACATTTCTTGGGACTGGAGAAAGGCTCAGCAATTAAGAGCACATACTGTTTCCCAACACACACACACAGATTACAACCGTCTGTAATCCCAGCTCCTGGGAATCGGATACCCTCTTCTGGCTTCTGTGGGTATCTACACTCAAAAGCACATATCTACCCCCCCCCATGTAATTTAAAACAATAAAAATAAATTTAAAACTCATAAACCAAAAATGAAAGCTGGCTGAAAACACACTTAAGAAATTTCCAACACGTCACAAACACATGCACAGAAAATTCTTGAGTCTAATAGGTGTTGGGCACAAAGTATTAAGTCATGATGAGACTGTAGATACTCTTTACTTTCACTAAGAGGATTTGCTTTTAGTTTTGGAATGACACTGTATCAGAAATAGTAAAAAAAAAAAATAGCAGGAAGAAGACTGTTTCAGAAAGTCAATAAACTCGCCATGACAATGTTGTTACAAGAATATTAGGAAACAATACATTAATGAAAGGTGTTTTGAGGTCTCAGATTGATTTTTTTCTTTTAGCTTTGTTGCATGTAAAGTAGCTCCACATTGACCATCAGGCTTAGCACCCATTTACTGCTGGAGAGTGACTTACTGGAAAAGAGGAATTACTGGCAGTAAGTAGTAGTTGTACTTTCACAATGATATTTCCCTGTGGTTTTTCAGCTAAGAATCAACATCTATAGAGTCGTCATCAGGAAAGAAGTCTCCTGGGCCAATGATATCACAAAGCCATTTGAATTTCAAGTCTTAACCCCAGTCTCTTTTCAATTAATCCACACAGTGTTGGACAAAAAATTGAAACCAGACTTCCGAAGACAATGAATTAACAGATCATATGTCAAGTTCTCCACCCTTTTGTGTTTCTGGAGGGAAAAGGAAGAAATAGAAGTTTGATATAAGAGAGGGGAAGGAAGGAGATGATGGAGAGCAGATGATTACGATGCAGAGGACCATGAGAGCCACTGTCCCACCTCCGCAGCAGTCCACAATGTAGGTTGGGATTAAGATGGAAAAGGCAGCGGAGAAAGCCAGGGCCAGTGTTCCAGGAGGGTAATGAAATCACTGTGTGTGAATCAGAGGGAACAGATTTCTCAGCAGACCCAGGCAAACCAGGCCAGTCTTGCAGGAATGCAGGACTGTGAGTCTGCATCAGAGGAAGGTGCTGAGGGTTTTTGTTTTTTTCTCCCTTACTGTCCTGGATTCATAAGAAGAGTTGAGCTCAGGACTTGAGGATGTAGTTAGAATACTTGTCTACCATGCAATGAGACCCTAGGTTCTATTGTTAGGGCTGAAAAACAAATAAATTAGAAATGTTAGATTCAAACTGGACACTCAAAAATGTATTACTTTAGTTCAGCCTTTAAAATTTCATAAATTTAAGGTGGTGTGTGTGTGTGTGTGTGTGTGTGTGTGTGCGCGCGCGCGCTTTTCTATAAGTATGAGCACGCCTGGGCCACAGTGATTATATGTATGTAGGCCAGATATGAGGAAGTCAGAGGGCAAGCCCAGGTGTCAGTCTTCACTATCCACCAGCGAGACAGGGGCTCTTTGCCGTTCTCTACTGTGAATGTCAACCTGACTGGCCCAAGAGCTTCTAGGGCATCTCCCATCTCTGCTTCCTATCTCTCCTAAGGAACACTGGAATTACAGACAGGAGCTACCATGCTCAGCTGTGCATGGCTTCTGAGAGTTGAACTCACCTCCTCACACTTGCATTGGTGATTGCTTTTACCAACTGAGCTGTCCTCCCAACCCCAATATGTTTTAAAATCAGTATTTCATAGCAACTTAGGACCATCCCTGGTAAAGAGTTACTATTCGCTGGATGAGTAGCTGAATGGCAGGTGCAGTTGCCATCAAGTGCAGAGTACACTGACTACAGAAAACTCTATCAAGATATAGCAGCATTCTGAAGAATTACCTTCTCGCTCCTAGTGAGCTGAGGAGAGCAGCAGAGCCGTTGTGCATGGCATGCTGGGCTTGCATTCTGTGATCATGAGTCTTAGGCTAGTGAGCTAGCTCAGTAGGTGAAGACACCTGTCACCAATCCTGACAGTCTGAGTTCAAAACCTGGAACTACATGGTGGAAGGTGAGAACCAACTCTCTTGAAACTGTCTTCTGAGTGCCCTCTCTGTCTCTGTCTCTCTCTGTCTCTCTGTCTCTGTCTCCTCTCTCTCTCTCTCTCTCTCTCTCTCTCTCTCTCTCTCTCTCTGTCTCTCAGTGTGTGTGTGTGTACACAAATGTAATTATAAAATTTTTTAAAATAAAATCAGGAGTCTTCAATAACAACATAGGTGAAGCTCAGAGATATTGGGATAACTGAACAAAGTTTTTGACAAGAAAGACCGTCAGGTGAACCAGTGGATAGTTAAGACAATAAAAATGCAAACCATGGTTTCTTACTATTTATTAAAATGTTAAAGTCTATTAAGTGCTGGTATCCATTTGCTAATTCATTCAGTACTTACTGAGCATCAGCTATTGGCTGTTTTCTGTTGGAATAAAAGGGACAACTTTTTAAAATAGTGATAACTGGGGCTGGAGAGGTCGTTGAGTGGGTAGGAGCATACAATGTTCCTGCTGAGGACCCAGGTTCAGTTCTTAGCACCCACAGTAGTTCACAACTGCCTGTAACTCCAGTTCCAGGGCATCTGTGTGATGCCCTCTTCTGAACTCTGAGGTCCCTGTATCCACAAGGTGCACTCATGCATTCATGCAGATACATACACATAACATACAAATAAAAGTTTTAGAGGAACAGTGAGAACAGTCTGTATAACCTATTTTAAACACTAAAGGCTGGGGACATATCTCAGTGTGGAGCAGTTGTCTAGCATGCCTTTGGGTCCATCGTTATCATAAAACAACAAAACAATAAAACAAAACACCAGGATATTGATTATCAGTTAATTGATTAAGCAGTGACTACAGTCAATCCATGTTGCCTTACAGAGATGTGTTCAGCTGGTTGCTTAAACGTGGAGAAAACACTCCTCGCCCTGTGCCTAAGGAGCCAGTGAGCATCTGCAGTGTGTAGACGAGGGTGGGGTACGCACAGATCTTGGTTGGCTGGGATGGATGGTGTGTAAATGGCAAACTTTAAATGCACTGTCACAAATGCTTTTACAAAACTAGACTGACTTTAATTACAACACATGCTTTATTAGCAGATAATTAAAAACTCAGTATCGCATTTTCATGTCTTTGCTAAAAATTTGGCTCCTCTTATAGTTAGGCATTCTCATGACGATATTTAAGGAAGAAAACCTTATTTACAAATAAAGCCATGTTTAAAGTTTGAAAATCTTTCAATTGCCCACAATCCCTTGCACAGAATTATTTTTGTCCTTTGTAGGGGGTTTAGATAATGTTTGTCAATTTGCATTTCAGAGGGGAGGAGAATAATTTTTGATCTTTGCATGAACTAGGAATATAAGTGTTAGCCCATAAGTTGCTTGAAACTCTCTATAAAAAATTGTACATGTAGAGTGTTTTCATCCAAATGTACTTCCCTCTAAATATACCTGCACCTAGGTCTCCAATTACTGTTGGTAATATAACTCAAGACAGTAAATAAGTACATGTCCACAAAAGAGAGTAACTGGACAAATTGTGCTCAGGTCTGTGTGGAGACACACTGTTCTGTAGCCCTTAAAGAAAGTAAGAGTTTTTTTTTTTACATTTGGATATAGAGGGTTTCTAAGATATGCCAGTATCCTAGTGAACCTTCATTGCCAACTTGTTACAGCCTGGAGTCATCCAAGAGGAGAAGCCTTAATTGAGAAACTGCCTAGGTCAGGTTGGTCTGTGTGCTTGTCTATGGGGGATTTCTTTGATGGTTAATTGATGTAGAAGGTCCAGCCCACTGTATTAAGGACTGTTCCCTGGCCGTGGTCCTGGCTGTAGAAGATAGCTAGCTAGCTAATGGGACAGGAGAGATAGTTCATCATTCAGAGCACATACTGCTCTGGTGGAGGATCTGAGTTTGGTTCCCAGCATCCACATCGGCAGCTCAATCTCACCTGCAACTCTAAGTCTAGGAGGTTTTGATGCCTCTGGACTTCCAGAGCACTTGCTCACATGTGTGCACAATAATAAAAAATAATAAAATAACAAACAATAAGTAATAAACACAATATATTTAAAATAATAAAAATTAATCTTTAAAAATTATTATTTTTAAAAAAGGTAAGAAAATTAGCTAAACATGAGCCAGAAGGTGAATGAGCAAGCAGCAGTCCTCTATGGCTTCTGCTTCTGCTCCTGCCTGGGCTTCTGCTCTGACCTGCCTCAGTGATGCTTTGGTGACCTGGAAGCATAAGCCAAGTAAGCCCTCTCCTCTCCTATGCAAGTTGATTTTGGCTAGAGTGTTTTACCACAGCAACAAAAAGGAAATCAGGACAGTCAGTAAGCAAAGAGACGTGAAATGACAAACTCTCTGTCCTGACACTCTTGCTGTATGGGCTTGGTTTTGCATAGCCTGTTTAGGAGGAGGCACGGAAGCCTGCTCCTGTCTCCCAGGATGCTTTGAGTCAGAGACAAGAGCTTTCACTGTTCATTCTGGGCCAATTTTTGACTGTTTTCATTTTAAATTTTTTGAGGTATGGTATTGTGTAGCCACAATGGTCTTGGTACTCACTATGTAACCAGGTGGATCTTAACTGCACAGTAGTCCTCCTGCTGTGGCCTTCTGCGTGTTGGGATTACACACATATGCTTCCACGCTCAGCTTAATTTTTTTCAGACCATGTGCAAATTATTAAGAATTTGAAAAACAAATAAAAAATTCAAAACCACATGGAAAGAGTAATGAGCTATGTGTCATGGGGGAAATTAGTTTGGCTAATTCTCGTATGTGTTCTTAAATCACAAATGTGTTTTTATTTACATGTCCTTGTCATTAAGTGATTTTTTTCCATGAAAATACTCTTCAAAGAGACTAAATTATCTTGCTTTCATCTATCTATCTATCTATCTATCTATCTATCTATCTATCCATCTGCTTATCTATTTGTCTGTCTGTCCATCCATCCATCCATCCATCATCTAGCTATCCACCTGCCTATCTGTCTAGTTACTGTTTCCCCCAGTGCTGAGGACTGACCAACTACCCCACAGCTGAGCTACATCCCCAGTCCTCTTTATAATTTTAATTTTGATATAGAGTTTCACTAAGTTCTCCAGGCTGGTCTTGGGCTTGCAGTCCTCCTGCCTCAGCCTTCTGAGTAGCTGAGAGTACAGACCTTCACCACCAAACCTGGCTTTGCATTTGATCACTCACAAAACCAACAAAACTGCGAATATATCTAAAGCTACATTTGATTTTCAGATGTTACTCAGTGCAGGTGAAAACAGGACCACAAAAGCCAGGGAGCCATTCTTAGGCAGGAAAGCTTATGAACAGAAAGTAAAATGAATTTTGTCCATGTTAAATTATAATCATGCTATTTTATCCCTTTAAAAAAATGTTTATTTGTGGGGTGTGTGTGTGTGTGTGTGTGTGTGTGTGTCTGTGTCTGTGTGTCTGTGTGAGTGTATGTGTACATGAGTATGCAGGTGCCCCCAGAGGCCAGAAAAGGCTATTGCATCCCCTGGAGCTGGAGTTACAAGTGGTTGTTAGCTATTTCTCTGAAGTAGTGGAGTAGTAGTTTTGTTTCTTTTTAAAGCTTGTCAGACTAAAGTATTAGCGTCATACACTCTGCACTCCAGACTCTTTCTTATGGCATTGGAGACGAGGCTTGAGCCTTGGACTTGTTGAACAAGCTTGCCACCCCTGAGCTGCACCCCAGCCCTCCCTTTCTCCTGCTCTTCTCTTTCTTCTCCAAGATCTCTGTACGCCTTTTCACAAGCACTGTTTTCTTCCTGCATGGCTTCTATGTGGCTCTCTTTCCTTCTGTAAGGCTCCATGTCTTCTTTTCAACAGAAACCATTTAGATGGAGCTGTCTGGGCTGTCTCTCTGTACAGTGCACAGTGCTCCAGCCTGGGTGAGGTCCATGCAGCTTCTGGCTGAATGGTGTTATCTTAGCAGTGGCAGGCTCCTGTGTTTTCTTTATATGCCTGGGTGAGAGTGGAGCCTAGTGGGGCTTAACTATGAGTAGCTGAACCATCAAGCTCTTTTGTGGTATACTAACTCCCGGCTTTGTACACCACTAGTATGACAGAAGCACATCAAACAAAAGAAAACACTCACCTTTTGTCGTTTTGGAACTGTGTGGAGAAATCTCTGCAGAAGAGAGAGGAGAGATAAGTCAGGGCTGGACTCCTAATATCATTAGGGTCTCATGAAGCTGGGGATATTAGCTACTATCATAGAACCCATCAAATATGTGGAGCTGACATAATCAAATTGGTCTTAGCAAAACAAACAGGTTAACTTGCTGAGGTGTTTGGTCAGATCTAAGCATTGGCCATGCCTTAGAAAGGAGCAATTGATGGTGGCTTTTCTACCCCACAGACCACAGCTCCACACTGGCAGATACATTTGCCACTGTCTAGGATTCGCATCCATAAAGCCATGTCATGTCTGAGAGGAGGGGTTTCATTTCTGACTATCCTTACGGTGAGGACTTCAAAAACCAGTTAACTATGATGATGAGCAACAGGCTACTGGACCACTCAGTCAGTCCTAAATTAAGTGTAAGTAGTCCAAAGCTAGTGCAGACATCTTTCTGCAAGATCCCAACCCAGGTCTCAGAAGCAGTATGTGGGAAACTGGCCTGTCCTTGTACAAAGCTCAGGCTAACCTGTTATCCTGAGGGAGGTGGAGGCTGTAGGCTCCAAGGTCATTGTTGCTGCAAGAGATGGGGCTCGGGAGGACTTGTGACTGCCTGTCTCTGTAGTTCCTGCAGAAGTTGGTTGGAATGGTGTCAGCCTGGAGCCAGGCATAATAGCTGTCTCTGTGGCCACTGTGGTATCTGATTTGGGAGATAAAGCTTCTGGCTCTGCAGGAAATTCCAAGACAGAGACATAAAAATTTAGACTAGTGCCTGGGCCCCAAGTACTCACTTTAATGAGCTTGTCCTGGCCAGCACCCTTTCAGAAAACTGTCCCTTAAGTAGATGGCATCGCTATCGCTATCCACTGGACAATAATACTGATGATAACTTTAAATAATATAGTCATTTATTTGTGGTGCGAGAGAGAGAGGGAGAGGGAGAGGGAGAGGGAGAGGGAGAGGGAGAGGG